TTTTAACCATGGATTACTGAGCGGCCTACAGTAATATAAGCATACTTCAATTTCTCAGTTACACCGTTTATGAAATAACACGAATTAATAGGAGCTACCGCTCCGGTTTTGTACTTATTCCCCTTTGTAACAAGCCCACCCCTGCCCCGGATCTCACAAGTTGCTGCACAAAATAACCCTTCGGTGGCTTATGAGAGAGATAACGATATTTATTTTCTAACAGACCTCTTCAAGCAGTTTTTTCTGTTGACTGAAAAAACCGGCCATAGAAATCAGAAATCCTTTGTCAACTTTAACATTCATCTCCTGGACCAATGCTTTGGCGTACCTGCGTACATGTAAGAAATGAAAAACAATAGGCTCATATAGCTATCAAGCCACCTTTGTACTACAGTCGAAGCTCTCGTAAACGACCATCTTGGAAATTCGAAAAAGTGGTCGTAACTAGAGCTGGTCGCTTACGAGAATGAGCTCTCGTAAGCGACACCATGGTAAAACAATAAGGCTGGTCTCTTACCAGAGCTTCAGTAACTTATTAATAATTCGAAAAGAAAAAACAAAAGAAGTCAAAGTTAAATGAGTGTACAGACTGTATTTATATCTGATATGGACACGGCTAAACTTAATTTAATTGTAGATTTATATGAAAAAGATTCTGAGTGGTCGCTGAGTGGTCTCTTAAGAGAGCTTAAAAACAAAGGAAAAGCCCAGTTAAGTAATCCCAAAAGTGGTTGCGGTCGCTTACGATAGTTTCTCATTACAAGGCTGAGTCACAGTAAAAAGAGGTTTCACAAAGGTGGTCGCAAGGGGAGCTTCGACTACATTGGTTCATTAACTCATTTTTTAAAACATTTTTTCCAAAAGTTGAATATAGTGGAAGCTGCTCACTTGATATGATGCACTCCCTCTTTTGGAACCTTGTGATAAATAACTGACATCTCAATGAAAGGCTTGAAACCTAGAAGAAAATTTTTTTTTTTCAACTCGGTTAGCACTATCTTAAAACAAAGAATTCTGAATGCTGCTTTAATTTATGCAGTGTGAATAGTACATGGCTTTACGTACCTGATCTTTGAATGACATAGGACGGCAGAGGAGATGGATAAAGGGCAACAGGAAACACAGTACCGATCTGCTGGTTGTCAATCTGGAAACAAAATTCACAGTTAAATATCGATTTGTACATCAGGTTGGAGACAAATGAAGAACTCCAGTTATTTTCAACTCCTGGTACAGCTGTGGATAGAGAGCCCTTTTGACACGTACGACTGATTCACACGAACCAAACAAACGCAAGCGTGAGCATAAGTCGACCATAAGGGCTCTTCATATTTTTTTTTTAAAATGGATGTTAATTTACGCATTGGTGAATAAACCTGCCATTAGCTTCACTTTCCAAGGGCTCCAAAATAGTAGTCAACGACCACTTTTTATGGGACTGTTTCGATAATAAGCAATAAGATCAGGAACGGAGTGAGTTGCAAAGCTACGATGTGTGGTAAATATATCGTTACAGCTATTGTGTCTTTGGATCAAATGCTACTGTGTTACTATTCAAATAAAAACCTATTCTCCAGCACTTTCACATGGTACTATTTATTTAGTATCTAGTTCTAACTGAACATGGTGTGACCATTCAAACGAAAACTTCTTCAGCAGTACTTTCACATGGTACTAATTATTTAGTACGTAGTTCTAACTTTTGCGTCTGTGGATGAAATCCTATGCTGTTACCATTCAAATAAAACCTCTTCAGCAGTACTTTCACATGGCACTAGTTATTTAGTACGTAGTTCTAACTTTTGATTCTGTAGATGAAATCCCACGGTGTTACCATTCTAATGAAACCTTTTCGGCGGTACTTTTGCATGGTACAATATCTTTACACGTAGTACGTTGTTTTGACATTTAAAGTCTGTGGACGAAATTTATGTTGTCGCCATTCAAATGAAAGCTCTTTAGCATTACTTTAATATGGGTCTGTACCTTTGAAGACTAAGCATGAAAACCTATGGAGTCACCATTTACGTGAAACTTCTTTAACAGTACTTTTACATACTATATTCAACCTTTTAGGATTTTCCTTGACGGAAGCTGGATTTTCATTTATAATTGTGACTAAATTATGCCTAAATTGGCCACTTTTAGGAGAGAGTAGATTAGACATTGTTCAACCCTCCCACACACTTTCATATTTCTACTGACAATCCGTTAACAGACAGCTTTTTAACTGCGTATTATGATAACCAACATTTACCACTAACAACATTCACCACTTTATCACACTACACCTGAATTCGATGCATTTTACAGTAAAAGCTGTGGTAATGATCTGAGCTCGTGTAGTTGAGCCAAAAAGCAGGTTCAAAAAGTCGACGAATGGCACCTCGTTGTGGACGAATCATATTCATCGAGTTGAAGTCAACCTGTAGTGAAAAAAATAAATCTCAAAAAACTTGCAATCAGTACAATGTAGCGTTACGGCCAATAGTTGACCCAAATGTTCCGCACGCCTCCTGCAACAATGATCAGCCCTTGAAAGCTCGCAGTCAGGTGTCCTCCTCATCGCACAAATTATTGAATAGAATTTAAACAATATCAGAGATGACCCACCATGACTTAAGTTGCAAGGGGATATACAAATTATTGGCCTGAATAAATGAGATAAGTCGTGCTTTAAGAGACAAAACATACAGGCAGTTTTTAATCTAATACTTATTTTCTGTTGTGTTAGAGAGGGCGCTTTGCAAAGTTCATGGACGGAAAGACAACACCAGTCTTTCCTTTTAGTGGCGTGTCTTGGCTCTGTACAATAGCTTTGACAACCTCCCACAGTTAAATTCTATAGTTCTATATCGAAGTGCAAATCAGTAACAGCTTATAGTGTTGCTAACGAAATCCTGGTATCCAAGCACAGCCACGATTTTAATACTCACCTTTCAATATTTGGTAAGCAAATGTCTTAGCACTATTTGAAACACGACACGCAGTGTTTCATCCACTGTCTGAACCTATTTTGAAATGATACATTGAGGAAACAATGGATTTTTGTAACTTTTAAAACTTTACGTATAGAAAGGTAGGTTGTGGTATCCACCTCCATGTAAGCAATCCCGGCACTTGTGATATTAGAGTAAACTTAACACAGTACCTTTCTATCTTCCAACTCGACTTCTGGAGCATTATTTCTCCACGCGTCTTCTAACCAAGAAGACAAAACTAAATTAAGATTCTTCCAGCTTCCAGAGGATCTCTCAAGTTGCCAGATTGAAGAGGAGCTACACCAGAAAGAACAAAAAAAACTCAAAAAAAAAAGACCAGACATAATTGTAACAGATCTCTATTTGAAGTATTTGGCGCCAGTACTGACACCTGTAAACCGATTGCCATAGACTGTGACAAATAGCAGTTGACTATTCATAATGGTGCTAAAAGGCTTTCGAGCCTAACAGCCTCTACGTGCTGGACAAAAGGAAAGGTCGAGCAAGGCATCCTCCATCCATTATTTTTGTCATCCTTTGTCCAGACTCTCTTCGAACTTTTGCTGCAAGGGCTAATGTTAGACATTTGTCTCAATCTACATTATATATACAGTCACCCACCCCCCAACCAACAAGTATAACCGTATATAATTGAAGTGTTAATTGTCGACACGACAACAACAAACATCTTAGCAAATGATGCTCAGAGATAACCAATTACTGAGGAAAGCTCACACATTCAAGTTTAATTTATACCAAAAATTAATGCAAGTTTGCAATCTTAAGCATTAGTGAAATTTAGTCTCTACTGCAAGAGTGAGTGAGTATTTGTTGCTTTCAAAATTAAAATAAATTGCGAGAAACTTTGGTGACATACCTGGACAGGGTTATGTAAGCCATTTCATCAGGTTTGCTATTGACAAGAGATAAACCAACTCCATCCAACGACACGAACAATTCCATCTTTACAACTTCGTAGTCACAACACTGGAACGTAAGAAACAGTTTATATACGCTTTTAAAACATTACGCTATGTAGGCTAGACCAGTTTAAGACTGAACGCTCTTAAGTTATACGCATATGGTGCAACAGTAGTGTGACTATGGTTAGGCAGTAGTGTGTCTATGGTAGCAGACGTAAGCACAGACAGGTGTATAAATATCCCAAGAAAGTATTCTGGCAAAATTTTAAATCACTTTTTTACTAAATGGATTGCTAGACAGAATCTGAAGCTCAATTTTAAATCATAGATTTGCAGGAGAACAGCGTGCCCAAGTGTTCAAAGCGTCTGACTTACAATAGAAAGGCCCCTTGTTCAGTTCCGCTCGGGCAACTAGATGAATTTATTTGTTTTTTAATTGCCTCTTGTTCAACTTACCGGTCACAATCTACCTCCGGCCACAAGCAATTTTAATCAAGTGATGTTTGGTTGAGATTATTGTTTTTTAGTATTTGGGTGGGACACCCTTCCTCTACCAAGAAGGGTTTAGTGCATTAACCATAAGCGCTGTCCTTTTGGATAGCTAAAATATCGGGGTTTGAGCTAGGATTTGATCACTGGGTCCCTTTGGCTAAAATTTTGGGGGACATTTTTATTTTTAGGGGGACAGACAAATTAATTTTTATTCAACATTTTTTTACATTAATAGAGGCAAGCCAACAAAACATTTTTTTTTCACCTGATCCTTGATACAAACAAGAAAAGTTAAGTTATTGGTGTCAAGACTTTCTTTTGTCATATTTGAACGGAGGATGGATGACTATGCTTTATACTTCCAAAACATTTCACAGCAGAATCTCGTCCCGGCATCCCCTTGTAAACTTAAATTCCTTTCTTAATTACTGGTAGACATACTACTAATTCTTCTGTTGGTTCTAGCCCAAACATCAAGGGCTGTAGAAAAGTCAAAGTCCGTGGAAGGTGGCCCCTCAATGTCAATGGTCATGAGCACATCCAGCCTCTCAGCTTTCAGTCTGTTTCTCAAAGTATTCTTAATTCGATTCTGTGCGCTAAAACCTCTTTCACAGCCAGCCGTATTAGTAGGCAATACAAGTGCGACTTGACAAAGCTTAATTAAATTTTGGACTTCATCGCTATGATGGGTAGCGAGCATTTTCCATAGTTCAGCAATGTGACCCACGGGGTAATGCTCTCTAACAACCAGCTCTTTAACAAAGTTCCATTCGATTCTGCATTTTTCGGCATCCACAACTGCTGGTACATCTTTACCACCTTGGGTTTTCTTTGCAGATCCATAGTGGGAAAGTAACGTTTCCAGCTCTTCATTTCCGTAGGTTGACAGATTTTCATTTTGAAAACGCACATTGCGGAGACTAAGAATCCCGAATGCATTAACTACATTTGTGGAATGTACGGGGAATCTCTTTTCAAGATTTAGTAGGACATTGTCAAGGAATTTCGTTTTCATTGATTCAAATTGTTTAACTTCACGGGCAGTCACTTTAATAGTGTTCTCTCTCCATTTAACTTCTGAAACATCATCTTGTGATGGCAAAATCTCGGACAAGAATTTGTCGTTGTTACTCTTAAGAACTGTTATTTGAGTAATAGTTGATTTTACCAGAGCCTGAACTGACGCAAGCTCTACATGTTCCTTTTGCAAAGCAAGGCTCATGAATGTGAGAATAGGAATCACATCCATCATCATGCAGAGGGTGGCAACGAAATTGAACTCCTGCAGGCTTTTTTTGAATCCACGGGCTTTATCATCACTGTTGGGTTGGGATTCCATGTAGGCCACAAGAGACGGCCAAGTGCGGTACAGTGTCTCCAGAGCACCGTAGAATGAAAACCACCTGATATCAAACACTTCCTTGATTTTTAGTTCAGGATGTTCAAAGATCTTCTGAAATTCTGCCAGTGTCTGTGACCGGAGGGCAGACTTGTCAAAATAGCGGTACAGAGCAGGAAGGATCTCTTTGAATTTTGCCAAATAAGGAATACCATATCCTATATATCCTCCTTGGCCAGCCAGTAGACGGCTCTCATTGCTGTTAGGATGGCTTGCGATTCTGCTCTAAAAAGACGGCGCTGTGTTTTGCTGAACGTATCCCTCATAGCTTCTTCCCTAACAGCATCCTCATGTTCTTTACAGTCTTTATGTCTATGCAGAGTTGAGGTTCTAAAATTTGTACACCCTTCTGCCGAGGCAAAGGGGTTTGTCTTCTTAGATTTCCGACAAAAATAGCAGAACATCGCCTCCTTTTCATGGCGCAACCACGTGTGATCTCCCAACCAAGTTTTCTGGAACGTTCGTGATTTTTTCGGTTTCCTTCGATCCTCATCCGTTTCTTCCTGATTAATACACTGTTCTTCTTCTGTATCATTTTTCTCAGATTCACTCTGGCTTCGATTTAGAGTGAAAAAGCTTTCTAATGTTCGAACACGTTTTCGATGTGACATGTTAAAGTTCACCACGCTTGGTTGAGCATGAGACGCACGTGTTCAGTAGAGCGTGACTGAAACGTGACTTTAGAATGAACTTTTTAAAACGTGCGATAAAACATACTTTCCACGTTCTGTTTTACATGTGGCTAAATTTAATTTAGGCAAAGTTAAATTTCTGTACTGAACTAAATCTCTTCGTGTGTGCTTCCTTTCGACTTTTTTCCCTAAATTTTGAAGGGGACAAATTGTCCCTTTGGCCATTTTTTTAAGGGACAATTTTAATTGCAGTGCGGGATTGGCGCAATGGCGCGGTCTGGCTCAAACCCTGAAAATATTACATTAACATTTCACAAACCTTTCGGACCAGGCGAGAAAGATTCTCGTTATCTACAAATATCAGCACTCTCTGAAGACCATCCATTACAGAAACCCAATGGATAGTTTTCTTGACACTGTGAGCAGCTGGTTCATCGACATCGTCCCACGTACCCTGTTCCATTCCTTCTGGTACAGCTGTTGCAGACCCACACAGAAGTCCACCACAGGTAATGTCTCTATCCTCAAGCTGCTTTCGTTCCCCTCGGATTGGTGGAGAAGTGTCATCAAGCTCCACTTGAATTTTATCAAAATCGTCCTGTTAAAAAACAATGTTATACCACAACTCCTAGTTGTGCCAAACCTTAAATTCAACCTCGTGTCGGCAGTTAAATCAACAAAGAGAAACCAAAGCCTATAGGTTGGGATATTTTTTAGACCCAATATTTACTAATCCTGGTATCCACCAAAATGCTTCATATGAGGTTGAGGTACGATTAGATTGTCAAAGACAAACATTGGCAAAGCCATCAAATGGCGATCCTGTGAATCTGATATTTATAAGACCTAGAACGCCAGTCCCAAGATACCGGTAGTCATGCATTTAGCCGAATTGTACTTGAAAATAGGAAATAACGTTTTCGTTTTTGACGCTTTCTTGGAAAAGTTGAACAAAACGTTACCTTATCAACCGGAGCTTCTATGGGTTTGTCTTTTCCTGTGTAAGGTTTCCAGAGGAGTTTTCGCACTCCCTGAGGGTCATCCCAGGTGTAAAGAATCATTTGCTTGGAATAAAGAACTGTGACCTGGCCCACGTTCCTACAGAGGTCCAAATGACATTCAGTGTAAATATAAAGATTTCGGCAAACCTAGAAGCGGAGCTCCCACTCGAACAAAAAAAATGGCAATTAAAACACACTGGGAGATGGTCTTCCAAACGTTGGAAGAAATCATAACCTTCACGTTAGCATTCTTAAACGACGAAAGGTTGTTTCAGCTGGAAATAAATTCATGCCGCTCCCAATGAATTTTAACTCATTACCACTTAGCCGATTTTTCATTTCAGTTATTTTAAAACACTGTCTGTCTTGTGGCACACAAGCTTTGATAAAAACCACTTTCTCTCAACCTAGTATTACTTGTATTGCAAATTTTCAAATTAATAAAAAAAACAATCATTTTGTTGTTTACATGCGCGGGCGTCTATGCAACAAAACCGTAGGAAGACAATGCGTACTTGTGTTACTTCACACAATGTGAAAGTGATAAGCAAAGAAGGAATGTATTTAACACGCGAAGCTTACTTGTTTAGCCCCGCAACAGTTACGGCAAATGTATAAGATAGATAATTACGCTTACAAGATATCGTTGAGTAAGGCACAGCTGTGTAACCTAACAAAAAGCAAAGTAGTAATACAAAACATAGTGACTGGAATCCAGCAGGGTTTAATCACTTGTCCCTACATTTAAAAACAAATTTTAAACACAAAGAGCTGGAATTTAACTAGAATAGATGGAAAAGTGAAAATACTAGTCCTGAAAAAGAAAAATCAGTGAAAGTAAACCTTCTGTAATATTCAAGTGAACTTACTGTTGGCGAAATTGGATTGGAATGTTGTCGCACAGGTTTTCAATCCTGATGGTTCCAACTCCAGGAGAGAAGGGTGTAACTACTATCGTTGTTACAGAGTCCTCAACTTCCCCATGAACGTCCATAGTAAGGGCTTGCAGCTGAGCAATTCTCAGCACTGTTGTGTGTGACGATGTAAAGCTGACTGGCTTCGAGATGACGTTTGACATTGTCGGCTTCAGAACGATAGATCTGGACTTGTCAAATGGCCAAAACGGTTTACTCTGAATAAAAGCATGAATATATGAGACATACAGAGAGCATGTTTCATAGAGACATCATTTTAACAACAGAATCATCGCAGTAAGGTTAAATTAGGGAGCAGGGTAGTTTCTTCAGACAATTTTGCCTGGGAGACAACCATCTACTACTGTATCGTGGTATGTGAAACTTGGGTTACCATACGGTTAGTAAAATCGACTTACAGATGGCTAGTCGCCCGGATTTCTTATTTCTTCCCCTACGTTTTTATTTCCATAAACGCGTTATCGATCGCCACGGGAAAAAAATAGAGGGACTGTCAACAGACTAACTTTTTGAAATTTATGTTTACATTTTAAATTTTCATCTTCTTTGGGGCTCTATCTTTAGATACATACCTCTTCTGGCTCAACAACAAACCAAAGGGCATTTTTACATTTATGTTCAATGAAAGAGAGAGATATCTGCAAAAAGGAAAAGCAGAACCAATTACAGGCGACGATAATTCACAAACAACATCTCTTTTCATAACCCTTTTAATCTTATAGCGAACAAAAGTTGGAGAGTGAGCGGAAATGCCTAAATCACCCAGTCCTTTTAAAGAGATCTAAATGCTAGCGAAAATAGTTTTCACTATAACGGATGTACTTTCTGGATGATATCCACTAAAGTAACTATTTGAATGGTTACATTGACGCTATATTGAAAGTGTCGCAAATCCGCAAACTTACATAGAAGATAAGGGCACTGACCTCACAGATATCTTAAAATGAGCTACGAGTTTGAACGATGTCATGGCAACATCGAAACGCCGTGTCAAACTATTTCGCAAAAAGTAACCGTTTCACTAGACAATGTATTCATCTACCTTTTCGGCTTTCATTTGTATATAAAGTTTTGATCTAGGAGTGTTGCAACCGAAAGAAAAAATATGAATATCACTTACCTCTGTGTTGTTGATGATGACGTATTTTGGTGTTAAGGTCACAATCTTTGTAAGTCCTGTTCTTGACATTTCAATTTGTAAAATGAACTGAAGAAGAAAAGGAAAGGTAACTCATCTATTTTTTTTAAATGAGAATTTAACCCAAGTATTGTTACAGAGGGATTCGTTTACGTTTACTTAGGCTTCCCTCGCCTTTACAAGTCACGCAACAGCACGTGCGAGTACACTGAACGGAATGAAAACCAACTTTAACAAGTACCTGGTCTCACAAAAATTTAAAAATCAACTCTTGACCCTCAAGCGACTCATCAACTGTTAAGACTCTTACACAGCTCAATAAATCTGTAAGACCAAAGGGTAAAGATTTCGCATCCCTAACTTTCGCCGTCCGTCGTTTAAAACTACAAACAGCATTGGTCGAAATACAAGTTGCCTCAGTAGGTTTTATTTTCAGTTATTGCTGCAGCTTAGCATGACTACAATTTTCGCGTGAAAACATGTCTGGATTTTCAGTACTTTACCTCAAACTTTCTGGAGTCATTTGCTTTGCAAGTCACTTTTCCAGAATCTCCAACCGCGTCCAAAGAAAACTTGCTCGACCAAGGATGGCCTGGTATTCTGAGTTTGGCCTACAAAGCATGGTAATCACTGTCATAGTAAAATTTGGAATGGACTGTTACTCACTCACTATAATACAACTCTAATAAGATGAGCCACATGAGTTAAACGTCTTCATGAACGTAACGTTTTAATTTAGAGGGCATCTGGATCCAAAAGCTCTACGAATGGAAAATCTTGTTGCTCAAACGCCATTGGATCCAAACACCAACGGTCCCTTAGTTAAAAGCCTTAAAAGGATGGTATTAGGAACTATTTTGCGGTATTGGGCTGCTGAAAATGGTGTATTTTGGCCAAAAAAGTATTAGCTTTAAACTCCAAATAAATTTCTACAGGTGGTCATAATTGGACAACTGACGAACAAGTATTCAGTCACCAAATAACCAAGGTCAAATACTCGCTTGGCTTGCTTAAATCAACGTTGCTTAATGATAGCATTTGTGTCGCTTTTAACTTGCGTAGTTCAAGACTCAATATAAGAATGAAATTTACCCTATTACAATGATCAAGACCCTGGTAGACAATATCTTTGAAGCATTTACTGGCAATAACCAACTTAAGGAGAAATGTACTAGCTCAATGACAAAATTGATCCATCAAAATGTCATAGCCGGTGGAACTGACAGTGCAGTTACCCGGCTGCCACCCTGTGCGCATAGCCTCGTTTTGTCTTCTTGATCACGGAAGAGAAAAGAAG